CAATATATTAGGGGTATTTGGATGGGATGAACTTCTGGGAATATCGTATCTCCTATTGCCAATGAAAGGAAGAGAGGCCCATTTTGACAGAGAAAGATATTGACCATTCATAATACTTTCTCAGGGATGTGGTGGCTCAGTGGCTAAGACGCTGAGCTTGTTAATTGGAAGGTCATCAGTTCAGCGGTTTGAATCCCGAGTGCCGCGTAACGGGGTGAGATCCCGTGACTTGTCCCAGCTTCTGCCAACCTAGCAGTTCGAAAGCACGTAAAAAAAAATGCAAGTAGAAAAATAGGGACCACCTTTGGTGGGAAGGTAACAGCGTTCTGTGCGCCTTTGGCGTTGAGTCATGCTGGCCACATGACCACGGAGACGTCTTCGGACAGCGCTGGCTGTTCGGCTTTGAAACGGAGGTGAGCACCACCCCCTAGAGTCAGGAACGACTAGCACATATGTGCGAGGGGAACCTTTACCTTTAATACTTTCTCAATGGACTTGAGAGCCACCTTTCATCCCAAGTTCATCTGCTCTTTCTTCTCCTCCTTCATAGTCCCCATTAGCTGATGTACACCCGGGGAATCCTGGGAGTCAAAATCTACACATCTTCAAATGGCCCAAGTTGGGAAACAACGCATTAAACTAATTATTGATTGACTGATTGAGGGCTGGGCGTGATCCTCAAATGATAGGGAAGTAGAAACCTGGTCTGCTGGATGCCCTGGCTTGTCCATGCCTCCCTTGCCTAATTGCTGGGAGACTCAACGCGGAGGAGGTGGAACAGGTTGGCGAAAGAGGGCAGTCAAGACTTCCTCTAGCACCAGGGGAAGGAGGCAGATGTGATTCCGATCCAATTCTCTGGATGGTTTCGTTGGGTCCTGACGTTGCAGCCTCGCCCCGATGGAATTGGAAAGCGCCTGGAGCAAGAGGGAAGGGTGGGGCAGGCAGGCAGGTAGGAGGGGAGGGAAATGTTCTGAACTAGGCTTCCCAAGAGCATGAAGCAGACTCCTTGTCCCGACAAAAACCCCTTTTTATTAAGTTACTATGAATTCCTCTTATTCAATCCAAGACAGTCTTTCAAGGAAGAATTTACGGTCACAGACCTTGTCTGGCTTGGAGAGCTGCCAGGCCGATATCTTCAAAACTTGGCAAGGAGTCTTGGAGAGTCACGAACCAATTAGGTGGAACTAATTGTCTCCTGCGAACTCCCCTCCCCTTTTGCTTCTCTTTTATTCCCTCTGGGAGGAGCCGTTCACCGTCCACCTGTGGCTTTACTTCTGAGTCGACCCTTGTTCCTTAGCTGTTCCCTCCTCCTGGCAGCTCTGTGCATGCGCACAGTGGGAACAGGCTCCAGCTGTTCCTCTGCATCACTGATGTATCCGAAGGCAGCTGACAACTGTCAGACGGCCCTGGCCCTCTCTCTGCCTCCGACGCAGAGCCCTCATCCGAGCCTTCCCTAGACTCCAGGACTGGCCCATGTTCCTCCCCAACCTCCTCACTGTCTGAGTCTGCCACCAGCTCTGCTGGCGGGCCACAACAGGAAATTGGAAAGGAAGATCTGGTTGAGAGGTGTCCAGACTGGGGCCTTTAGGAAACGGAGCTGGTGGTGGGTTGCCCACGCAAGGGTTTGGACCAAGTATGACGAACTAATGAGAGGAATCCGTAAAGTTCAGGAAAGCAGGGAAATCAAGGTAGAGGCAAGGAAAGCCCAAGATTTATGGCAGGAAGTTTTGTTTTCCCCTGGCATTGTGGATCCTTGGTGTATCCAGGTATCGAAGACGTCCAACTGGTGCCTGCAATCATTGCAGTTGTAGCCTCGTCTCTTTATCCATGCTTCACATGTGCATCACGCGTAAAAGAAGACGGTTTTTCATTGGGCAGTCTCAGCTGTGATCTTTTCGAACACTCCCCTCCCCCCCGAACACCCCCCAAACCCTCACTTTCATTAGGCCTCCTTGTGGTCTGGCCATTACTGATCCTTCTACCAAACTCCCCTGGCTTTAACCTGCCTCGCTCTGTCTGGATGAAACCGAACAGAATTAGATGTGAGACTGGAAGAAGTGCCTTTCCCCTTTATCAGTGGGGATGGAAAGGTCCTCCTGGTTGCAATTGTGGTGCTGAAATACAAACTATTAAACATCTTCTTCTTGTGCCTTAGCCGTCATCGGACGCTGGCAATCCTTTTTTTTTTTTTTTTAATTTGATTTATATGCCGCCCTTCTCCGGAAACTCAGGGCGGCTTACAGTGCTTTAAGCAATAGCCTTCATCCTTTTGTATATTTATACAAAGTCAGCTTATTGCCCCCACAAACTGGGTCCTCAATTTACCTACCTTAGAAAGGATGGAAGGCTGAGTCAACCTTGAGCCTGGCGAGATTCGATCTTACTTTAATTGCAGACAGCTGGTGTTAATAACAGGGTGCTTTAGACCACTGTACTACCAAGGCTCTTTTTATCAACAGCTGCACAAAAAAGTGCTGCTGAGCTTTGTCCCTTAGATTTTGAAGCCATGATATTCTTCTTCTGCCTGGACCTCGTTTCCCTTCAATCTTTCCCCGGAGGGTTAAGTGAAGCATGCTGCATTTTCCCGGGTGTCGCATCCCATATCTGAAATATTCTAACTTTTGCTTTTTAATGGCTTTAATGATTTCCCTTGGCTTTCCCCAGGCGGCTAATCACCTCCTCGTTTCTGATTTTGTCAACCCAGCTTATACGTAACAGCCGCCTGTAAATGCACTTTCAAACGCTTCTAGTCTCTTCAAGTGACTTTCTGTCAGAGACCAACTCTCCACTCCGTGGAGCAGGATAGAAAGGATGTAACATCTGACAAGCCTGATTTTCAATCTTAGGCTTATGTCACGACTGCGGAAGACTGTTAAACATATTGTGCAAAATTGCCCAGACGTGCGTTCTCTTGATTCCCTAGGAAATCTGCATGAAGCAACGCCTCAGGCAATCATCGGGGTAGTTGAATTGGGCATCCACTTATGAGACCACTGCCATATCCCCCTAGAAGTGTCGTATAAAATTGTGTGGATTGTGTGCATATGTTTCCTTCTGAGGTGTACTCACCACACACTAGAGTAGAATAAAATATAATAGAATTCAGAACAGAACAGAATAGAATTCTTTATTGGCCAAGTGTGATTGGACACACAAGGAATTTGTCCTTGGTGCTTAGGCTCTCAGTGTACATAAAAGAAAAGATATGTTCCTCAAGAATCATAAGGTACAACACTTAATGATAGGCATAGGGTACAAATAAGCAATCAGGAAACAATATCAATATAAATTGTAAGGATACAAGCAACAGAGTTACAGTCATAAGTGGGAGGAGATGGGTGATGGGAACGATGAGAAGATTAATAGTAGTGCAGATTTAGTAAATAGTTTGACATTGTTGAGGGAATTATTTGTTTAGCAGAGTGATGGCGTTCGGGAAAAAACTGTCCTTGTGTCTAGTTGTTCTGATGTGCAGAATTTATAGCATTGTTTTGAGGGTAGGAGTTGAAACAATTTATGTCCAGGATGCGAGGGGTCTGGAAATATTTTCACAGCCCTCTTTTTGACTCGTGCAGTATACAGGTCCTCCATGGAAGGCAGGTTGGTAGCCATTGTTTTCTCTGCAGTTCTAATGATCCTCTGAAATCTGTGTCCGTCTTGTTGGGTTGCAGAACCAAACCAGACAGTTATAGAGGTGCAAATGACAGACTCAATCATTCCTCTGAGGAACTGGATCAGCAGCTCCTTGGGCAGTTTGAGCTTCCTGAGTTGGCACACTAAACAATAAGTCAAGAAAGGCAATGAAGAATGAAAAAATACATTGGCTCAGGATGCACAGAGAAGGCCCATATCAAGTTCAGATGTTAGTTTCCTCTGAACCTTTACAGGGTCCTTCTTTACTTTCCAAGTCAAGGACTCGATGCCAGCCTTGTGCCAGCTGATGCCATGCTGAATCTCAGTATAGAGTGGGTGGGGGGAAAGAGGAGGAGGAGGAGGAGGAAGGATCCCATGCGCCAAATGGAGTCTTTAAAGGAGAGATAACGGCAACATTATTCCAAAGGAGAAATAAATTCACCCATTATCCCTTCGCGATGATGGCTCTGCTTCTAATTGATGAGCATATTTAGAACCTGCTTTGCAGATCCTGTCAGAGAGGTGCCCAACCCACTGACAATAATCGTCTTAATTAACGATTAGAAAAAAGAGCAATGGAAGAATTCCCCCCAGAAGGAGAAGCAATCGTGTTCCCCTCATCAATTCTCTTTTATTTCCAACACTATTTTTGGGGCCGAACAATTCAGGTTAAAAACACTCCCATCTGCATCTGAATTAGAATTCTTTTGTTAAGATTTTTCCTGTTCTACTCCATCCGATCTGGAGGACGTGAATCCGAAGATTCATCTGCTTCATTAAATTAGAACTGGGTAATTTTGAAAGGTGGGGGAAAAAAAGAAAAGATAGATGCAGCAGGAAATCCCGAGGGTGTATGCATTTGTCAAATTCCCTAATGTACGTAATTGTAGGACTTTTATTCCACATCCTAGTCGTATTATTGATTTATTGTTGCTAAGTTTTATCTGTTGTCCTCCCCTAGCAATAGCTCTTCTGTGAATTATAGCAGTGCTTGCCTTTAGCCAAGATGAACCTGAGTGTGGAGTTTTTAAACTTCTTCCAACGACAGAACACACGGGTTTTTTAATGATTTCTTTTTTAAGTTTGAAACTTCATGGGCTGTGCCATAAACAAGATGGTTGTACCAACAGAAGAGGGTATTTGTAATTCAAGGGTTGAACCGTGGGGTCCTTGGTGCTCTCTGAGCTTGAATGTTTCCTTCCCCACATTTCATTACCAAACTACTAACAGCATCAGCATTGATGACATTACCTAGCTGGGTAACGAAATGTCTACAGGAAAACAACCAAGCTCAGAGAGCATCAAAGACCTCACAAGATGGAAATGCTGAGAAGATACTCCCAGTTACCTACAACAGAGCAGTATGACTCATATTCCACACGTGTTTTCTAAAATGGGTCAGGATAAGAAAGCACAATGCTTCAACTCAAGAGGTTGTCCTCCATGTAGGGTCTCTATCTATGGACTAACTTCCATTCCATTGTCAAAGTTCATTCCAGAACTTCAAAGTCAACCAGAGAAGGACAACAGAAGACCAGAAGATCAACTGGTGGAGATACAGATTCATGAGCTGGAAGAAGAGGGTATGACGAAGGGGTGGTGGAGGGAATAGATGTTGTGTCAGTGTGTTTCTGTTGGTTTGTGAAGCGATTTGTGAGGGCACCTAATTACCACAGGAAAATCTGCTCGAAATTTTCTGAAGCATCTGGGCCAACTTCATTTCCTTCTGCTGTTTTCTTTGCCATCTGCTGGACATTCAGTTGACTGCAATGCGATTTTAATCGTTTAGGGCAGAGTTTTTCCAAACTTGGCAATTTTAAGATGTGTGGCTCTCAATCAACCGGGGTGAAATCCAGCAGGTTCTGACAGGTTCTGGAGAACTGGTAGTGGAAATTTTGAGTAGTTCAGAGAACCGGCAAATACCACCTTTGGCTGGCCCCAAAGTGGGGTGGAAATAGAGATTTTGCAGTATCCTTCCCCTGGAGTGGGAAGGGAATGGGGATTTTGTAATATCCTTCCCCTGGAATGGGGTGGGAATGGAGATTTTACAGTATCCTTTCCCTGGAGTGGGGAGGGAATGGGAATTTTGCAGTATCCTTCCCCTGGAGTCGGAAGGGAATGGAGATTTTGCAGTATCCTTCCCCTGCCACACCCACCAAGCCACGCCCACAAAACCGGTAGTAAATTTTTTTGGATTTCACCACTGCAATCAACGTCTAGAATTCTGGGACTTGAAATCTTAAAAGTTGTCAGGTTTGAAAAACGCTGGTTGAAGGGGAGGGAGAATGCAGACGTCGGTTTGGGGAAGCGCAATGCCAATCACAACACAAATCCCTTGCGTTAAATTTTGCAGCGCGACTCTTTTTCAAATCTGAAATTTTTTACTCCCATCAGTGAAAAAGCAAAAGGTATCCCAGCAGAATGCCGAAAGAGACATTGGTAGAGCACAGTTTCAAAAATGTTGTGCGTTTGAAGGTGTATTTGGGTTCCCTCTGCCTCCCCCACCCCCAGCTTACTTTATTTCTGGTTGATTCTAGGAACAGAGCTTGAAGACTTTCAACAAGACAATGAACCAATCCCAGAAGGGATCCTTGTTGCTAAAATATGGAGCTTCTTACACGATACTATCAGAAATACTGACGTGAGCTATAATTTGGTTGACAAGTCTGTTGTGTCAACAATGACACTTGATAGTGGAATGTTTACACTCACAACGGCATGGAGTTTGGAAGAGAAATTGTTCAAGAATCTGAAGAAGATACTCCTCCTTCAAGTCAACCTTGACTCCTACTGAGCTGGATGGCCAACTATCTCCTTAACTAAGAAGATGGAAGCTGTTTGCCTTGGTTTCCTTCTGGATGCGATCTTGACTTCCCAGCCTAGTCTTCTTTATTTATTACGGATTTATGTCTTGAATTGATTAAAATTCAAAACCGCTTGATAGTTGAAGCTGTCTATTACTAAATAGCTGTCTAGCTGTCTAAATAGCTGCAGCTGTCTAATACTAAAAAAGTGCAGGAAATAAAAATCAATAACAATAAAATGCAAAATAATAAACCCATACCATACAAACGCTAGACAATTGCAAGGCTTCAAAAAAAGGAAAACAATGTGAGTGAAAACGCCATTGAAATAACTAGAAATCAGTTGAACGGTTACTTCTGGGGGAGTCTCTGTAACAGCTACATTTGTGGAATTTTCTGATAGTTTCCCACCTAAGTAGAAACCAGGCCCAGCTGTGTTCGGCTTTTGAGGAGACACAAGAGATACCCAGTCCTAAATCCACAGCTTTCAACATAAGGCGGCTATTTAGAATAAAAAGGAACAAATCCATTCAATTTTCTTGGAACAATATGGAAGTCTTTCGTCCTTGACTTATTTCTTCTTCTTGTGCCATATCCATCATCGGACGTTGTTGGCGATCCTATTTTTATCAACAGCCGCATGAAAAAGTGCTGCTGAGTTTTGTCCAAACCAGTTCCTTAGATTTTGAAGCCATTATGTTCTTCTTCTTCTTCTGCCTGGATCTCGTTTGCCTTCCATCTTTCCCTGGAGGATTAAGTGAAGTGTGCCGTATTTTTCCGGGTGTCGCATCACATGTCCAAAATATTCTAACTGTCGCTTTTTTGACCTACAGTATTTAACTTTTTTTTTTAAAACTTCCTAGTCCAACTCATTGCTCTGGGATCCCCTCCTGCTCTAACTCGATCAGTTTCTGCTTAGCTTTCTCGGAAGCAACCAGTTGGCTCCTTGAAAAAGATCAAGGAAGGGATGAGCTCGGAAGTGTTGCCAAGAAAAGGCATGGTGGTACTCAAGTGATCACCAGGAGATCAGTTGCTTTGTTTGAACTCCATGCTTTTTTTTTTTTTAAGGAGGCCAACTCATCGGGAATCACCTCTAGTGTCAGAGGTCGACATCGAAACCTGACATCTAGAACATTAGTTTTTCCTTTTGACCAGTTCAGCCTTGTTGTCAATTAAGGTTTGCAGCCATGGCAACAGCAGTTCGATGAAGGAAAACCTGAGGATCAAACTGAAGGGTGGGGTAGAAACGGGAGGAAGGATGTATAATTGGAGGGACTGATCCTTGAGATCTTGATTTGAAAACCTGGTGATGAATCATCCATAGTTCCCAATCGGAGTAGGTTGATGACCTGTCTATTGTCACAGCTTGCTTGGTAATGGTCCCTTAGCAAACACCAACGGAGGCAGGAACCTGCCTGGTTCTCTGATGCGCTAGAATGGGTTGAGGATGCCAAGTAGGCTGGGCTGCAGGGATGCTGGTCCATTGCCATGGCAACCCACTCTTGTGATGCAGCTGTTAAAACATCACTGAGCCTGCCGAGGGAGAGAGAGAGACAGAGAGACAGAGACACACAGAGAGAAACACACAGAGAGAAAGAGAGACAGAGAAACACAGAGAGAAACAGAGAGAGAGAGAAACAGAGACACAGAGAGAGACACAGAGAGAAAGAGAGAGAAACAGAGACACAGAGAGAGACACACAGAGAGAAAGAGAGAGAGAAAGAAAGAGACAGTGAAACCCAGAGAGAGAGAGACCCACAAAGAAAACCCAGAACAGAGAACCACAGCTCTGGAAATGCTAGTACAACTGACTTCATTCTTTCCACTCAAATCTGTTTATTGCAGGTAGGAGTATCTGTTTCACCAAGGCAAGCCCTAAGAACATTTCTGCCTCGCGGCCCAGAAGAAGTTGATAATAAGCGAGAGAATGACGAGTAGCTTTATCACAAGGCCCTACTTTTCCCCAGGATGGGAGTTATGCAAATAGTTGAGCTTCGGGACTGAAATGTATTTTTCCTTGAAGGCATCTCAGGTTTGCATGTCTGCTGAACTGCCACTGGTGGAAATCAAATTGGGGGGGAAAAAAAAGAAGAAGAAGAAAAGAAACATTCACAGCTGGGATCAGAGTCAGCGTAGAATTCTCCTCCATGACTCAAGCAAGCTCTGGAGTCGCTCGGCTGCCAGTCAGCACCCATCTCACATGGGCCGTCTCAGTTTTTATGGTCCTGTCTTTGGGTGCAGCTAAGTGGTTGGCACAGACCGTTCCTACTCTTGTCTTACTGATCCCTCGTTCTGCCGGAATCAGTAAATCTCTTTTTTTGGTGTGCGGTGGGTGGGTTAGATACTCTTTAATTCTGTAAAAGCAATGGATTGGGTGAAAGATGGGACGATACAAGGATGCACACACACCGTTGGTTAACATAGTTCTGAAGAAACTTCTTGGATGAGATGAGAAACATTTTCAAAGGAAAAAAAAAAACTCCCGCAAGAAAGTCCAGTTGTGGATTTTTTTGGGAAAAGCACTTTTGGGAGAACCATGACCTGGATGGTTGAGATGCTGCATAGATATTGGTTAACATGGGAATAAAGGGAAGAGATGGACTTTTTGATGACTGCAAGAATTATTTCTATCCTAAGTTGGCCCTAAATAGTTCCTGGTGGGGAGCTTCTCCAAGACTTTAGAATAGAATAACAAGAGTTGGAAGGGACCTTGGAGGTCTTCTAGTCCAACCCCCTGCTTAGGCAGGAAACCCTATGCCATTTCAGACAAATAGTTATCAAATCTCTTCTTAAAAACCTCCAATGTTGGAGCATTCACAACTTCTGGAGGCAGGTTGTTCCTCTGGTTAATTGTCCTCACTGTCAGGAAATTTCTCCTTAGTTCTAGGTTGCTTCTCTCCTTGATTAGTTTCCACCCATTGCTTCTCGTCCTGCCTTCTGGTGCTTTGGAAAATAGGTTGACCCTTCTTTGGGGCAGCCCCTGAGATACTGGAAGACTGCTATCATGTCACCTCTAGTCTAGTCCTTCTTTTCATCAAACATACCCAGTTCCTGCAACCGTTCTTCATATGTTTTAGCCTCCAGTCCCCTAATCATCTTTGTTGCTCTTCTTTGCACTCTTTCTAGAGTCTCCACGTCTTTTTTACATTGTGGTGACCAAAACTGAATGCAAGATTCCAAGTGTGGCCTTACCAAGGCATTATATAGTGGTATTAACACTTTACATGATCTTGATTCTTTGACTTTGAGATCCCTCAGAATAGCCCTTGGCCACCGGAATCCTCAAATCCCTCCTCCTATTCTCTCTTGCTGATGGAATACTATCCAGGAAGAGGTGTTTTCCCCTCTTTGATTGGCTGTTCCATCACTCAAGGATCACCCAGGAAGAATGTGGTTTTAGCTAATTCTTATCCTGCTTGCTGACCTCTCCCAGACAAAGATGGAACTGCTGAGTAAATGAACACAACTGCACTTCCAATGCATGTCACGACACCTGTGTGCAATTAATCAAGTGTGTGCGTGTGAAGACCCAGGATTAATTACACATCAAATTTGTATTAAAATAACGAGAGGGAGGTTATTCATAGCGTTTAGCAAGCTGTCGGCTATTATTCATTCTTTGGGATGACACTGCTTTGGAAAGAAGGAAAGGGAAGGGAAGGAAAGGAAGATGAAGGCTTAGGGAGGAAGGCTGAGGGAGGGAGGAAGGATGGAAAAGGAAGGGCAGGGAGGGGAAGAAGAGGAGGAAAGAAAGGGAGGGAAAAGGAAGAAAGGAAAGGAAGATGAAGGCTTAGGGAGGGAGGGAGGAAGAAGGCGGAAGGAAGGAAAGAGGAAAAGGAAATAGGAAAAAGGAAAGATGGAAAAAAGGAAGGGAGGAAGGGAATGACTGAATTTATTGGGTGCAGTTTCAATATTTCCATCTCTCTTATCTCCTCAGGTTTTATAGGTGAGCCGCTGCAATTGTTTTAAGGCTAGTAATAGCCTAAGTAACAGGGATTAGAGGAGGGCCGGCTTTTAATTTGGAAATCAAGTGGCAATTGGATGGATTTCAGGAACCGAATCGGTTTACCAAACCCAGTGGGGTTTTAATGAATCCGATGATTGAGTTTGGATTGATCCAGGCATCCGAGCCAAACAAGGCCAGTTCCTGTATCAAGTTATCTGTCCAAATTAGATCAATGGAATCCGATCTTGCCGCATTTCACAACTCGAGTTTGAACATTCGGTGAGCGCAAAAGATGTTCTTGGGGGCAGAATTCTAGAGCTGGAGAAGACCCCCGACATAAAAAACGATTACACTTTTTTTTTATGACAGGGGAAATGCAACTCCTGCTCCCCCTCCACGCTTCCAAAAAAAACGTTTCTACATTTCGCCGCACCTTGTCATTGTCAGTTTTGATCAATAGCCTTGTGAGAAGGTAATGAAACCGTTTTCCCAGACCAGCATCCGTCATAAGTTACGAACGCAAGTCTTTCAAAGTTTAGCCCTTCGAATTCTCTTGGAGCCCCTTGTCCTCCCATCGTGGCTGGCTGGACCCCATCACTTTCTCCTTTGGGGTTTGTTTTCCATCGTAGGGTTTATTCCTCCTTCTGCCCTGGACTTGCCTGTACCTGACAAGGTTGGAATCTGGCGAGGTTAAAAGTCTTTTCTGGATCTTGTCCCCCAATTCCTAGATCTTGTCCCCCAACTTCCCCGTGGGGGTGTCCCATTCTGGAGATCGCTAGTAGATTAGATAAAACCCCACCTCCGTCCATGCACACGTCGATCCTTTCGTCTGTTTTGTTGTTAATGGTCTCGTTTTAATGCTTAACGTTTTAATATTTCTTAACTTTTTAATTGTATATATTATTTATGACCCCATAAGCTGCCCGCTAGTGCTCGCTAGTGAGATGAACAGCGTATGCATTTAATAAATAAATAAATATAAACCCCTTTGGGCAGAGCTTTCTACCATGAGGTTTTTTTTCTTTCTTTCTTTCTTCTGGATGCTTTCTTATTCATTGTCTTCTTCTCTTTGGAACGGAAGAAAAACTTAATGCTATTATCAAGAGTCGACTTCCTCTTGTCTTTCCACATTAACTGGACGGGATCAGCAAAGGAAAAGATGGCAGCTAGGATCGCAACCTAAGCCCTT